CTGTTCCCCCACACAGCAGACACACTGCTACCCCAGGACATTTGCATGGGCTATTTTCTCTGCCAGGAACGTTGTTCCTGCAGAGTCATGTGGCCCTGCCCTTACCTCCTTAAGGTCTCATCTCCTCAGCAAGGCCCGCACTGACCCCTAAGCTAAATCATCACCCACACCCACAGCCCCATTCATTTTCTGTCCTTTTACCGCTTTTTGTTTATTTGGGGCACTTATCACTCCCTTACTCTTTAGTTACTGAGTAAGTAGCTTAGGTTCTCTCTCTGCCAATAGAACACCAAGCCCAGAGGGAAGTGATGGTGTCCATCTGTGTCCCTAGTTCCTAGAAAAGCACCTGGCACACAGTAGGTGCTTACTACCTATTTGTTGAGTGAATGAATGTGAATGATGCTGTTTAATTCTCACATCTTCCCTGTGAGGCAAATTCTCTCCTTTTTGCCACAGAGACTCAGAGAGAGATAGTGTCTGGCCCATGGTCACACAGCTGGTCATGGATAGGTATGAAACCTGGGCAGTGGACCCCAGAGTCCATTCTCTAAGCCCTGAGATATAGCCAGAAATGTGGTAGGCTCCAAAGGCACCTTGAGGCCAGGATATAGCTGCTGGCTCAGGACTCGGTGCCATGGAGCCCCAGGGCCTCAGTCTCGCTCCTGTGAAATGGGCCCAGGAGTGCACTGAGAGAAGCAGCTTCTGGCCCTGGGAGCCCTGCCTACTCCCCAGGAATGGCTCTGTCCTCCCCCATCTTCAAATCTGCACTCAAAGCAGGTACATCTCACTTTCCCAGACCTCCTTCCCAAACCCCAAGTATACCACGGTTCCCAAAGATGTCGTGAAGCCGGGACTGGACCCTGTAAATTCTATGGGTTCCTGAAACACCCACTGCACCATAAGAGCCATTTCAGGGTACCAGGCCTTTGACTACCTGTTGAAGGACTCTTTCCACCTTAGATTATGAACTTTCCAGCTTATACCTTCAACAGATCAAGACCACCCTCCCCTGCCCCACCCATGAGGCCCTGCACGTCTAGCTGGAGCTTGTCCCCTATGTGCCCCAACCACTCTGGCCTTCCAACCGCTCAGACTCACCACAGAGCCTCTGCACGTGCAGTCCTGCTGCCTGGACCACTCTTCCTCGCCTCCCCTAGTGTCTTTGCTCTCATCCTCTGGTTACAACTTCTCTAAGAGGCACTGCCTGACCTCCCAGGGGAGATTAGGTGCCCCTACTTTGTGTTGATGGAGAGGTGTTTCTGCTTCTCAGCAGTTACGATCCCTGTAGTTTTACATTCAGTCTTGTAATTAATTGGCTAACATCTCATTTATATGAGGCCAGGCCTGTGTTTCTTCTCCCCGGTGTATCCCCAGCTCAGGGTCTGACACCTACTAGCTGCTTGATAAATTCTGTAGAATAAATGAATGAGGGCACCAAGTTGTGCCATCACCCCAAGGTCCCCATTTTAGAGGTGGGGAGACAGAGGCTTGCTCACCTGAGGTAGCATCCAGGCTCCTGGAATCCCCTATGCAGAGCCTTCCCCCAACTCAACTTGCATATTTAGGGCAGTGGTTCTAGCAGAGGACATTTATCAATGTCTGTAGATGTATTAGGCTGTCATGACGAGGGCAGGATGCTACTGACATCTCATGGGCCAGATCAGGATGCTACTCAACATTCTCCACTGCATAGGACAAAGGATTATCCAGCCCCAAATGCCAGTAGCATGTGGTAGAGACACCTGCTCTAGGGGAAGTGCCCACATCCCAGACTGATTTATAAAGACCTGCCCTTAGGTAGACTGGACCCCAGTAGCCACTTGGTGGTGGTTGTTAACCCTAGATCCTCAGGCTAGATCTCACCTTGACCCAGCTGCCACTGTTTTTGCTGTAAAAAGAGTGGTACCACCAAAAGACACTATCCACAGAGTGAGAAGGCGACCCACAGAAGGAATAAGATATTTTCAAATTCTAAATCTGATAAAGAATTAACATCCAGAATATATACTGAACTTTTAAAACTCAACAACAAAAGTAAACAACATGATTTAAAAACGGGCAAAGGACTTGAATAGACACTTCTGCAAAGAATACATATGAATGACCAGTACTCACACGTAGAGATGCTCAATGTCACTAATCCTCAGAGAAATGAAAATCAAAACTATAAAGAAATGTCATTTCATACTCATAAAGACGGCTACTGTAAAAGAAATAGCCAGTGCTGGTGAGGATGTGGAGAAATTAGAACCCTTGTGAACTGCTGGTGGGAATGTGAAATGGTGCAGCCACTGTGGAAAACAGTCTGGAGTATCATAAAAATTTAAAAATAGAGCTACTGTATGAGCCAGCATTTTCACTTCTGGGTATGTACCCCAAAAGATTGAAAGCAGGGTCAAATACACTTGTTTGTACATCTGTCTTCATAGCAGCATGATTCACAGTAGCTAAAATGCAGACACAACCCAAGTGTCTATCAACGGATGAAGAATAAACACAATGTGGTCCATCTAAACAATGAAATATTATTCAGACTTAACAGGAAGGAAATCCTTACACCTGCTACAACGTGGATGAACCTTGAGGACACTATGCTGAGTGAAATAAGCCAGACACAAAAGGACAAACACTGTGTGATTCCACTTACAGGAGGTTCCCACGGGAGTCAGAGTCACAAAAATAGAAGTTGCATGATGGCCGCCAGGGGCTGGGCAATGGGGATGGGGAGTAAGTGTCCAATGCAGGCAGCATTGCAGTCAGAGAAGATGGAAATGGTTCTGGGAATGGGTGGTGGTGATGGCTGCACAACAGTGTGAATGTGCTTAATGCCACTGAACACTACACTTAAAAAGGTTAAGATGGCAATTTTATGTTGTGTGCAATTTACCACAATTTAAAAACAGGATAAAAAGAAGAGGGGCCATGGTGCTGGTAGCCATGTCTGGGGCATGGGCTGACTTGTCTAGGAACCTTCACAAATGTCCAGCCCCAGTGGCTCCCACTTCCCTGAAGGTAAAAGCCCGAGTCCTCCCTGAGGTCCACTAGGCCCTGTACAACCTACCCCATCCCTCCTTTCCATCACCTCCTGCCTCTCTGCTCCTATCTCACTCTCTTCCAGCCACACAGGCTTCCTCAATGTTTCCCTGACGTGAAACCCAGTACTGCCCCAGGACCTTTGCACAGGCTGTTCACTCTACCTGCTATGCGCTCTCATTTCAATATCTGAGTGGCTGGTCCACTCTCTCAATGCTCTTAATCCTATCTGCTCCTGGAGGAGAGAATCCCTGCACCCACCCAAGCTCTTCAGCCTTGCATCTGACTTGTACTTTGGAAAACAAAGCCTTTCCAGGCTGGGGGTTGGTCTCTGAGACACAAACATTCAGCCTGTTTGCTCCATATAAACCAGTGGTTTTCACCCTTGAGGACCACCTTGGCTGGGTGGGGTGTCCCACCGCCTCTTCCATCTGAGCAGGACCCAGAGCTTTTAGGTTTCTGCTGAGACCAGATGATGGGCACAAAGTAATTGCTCAGTTAACATTTGAATGAAAGTGCAATAGGGAGGCACAAAGAGAGATAGGTATGGAGAGAGACAGAGAGCAGAGAAGAAGATGGACAGAGTAAACAATTAGAAAGCAGGAAGAGCAGAGCGGGAAGGAGAGAGGGAGTGGGAGCTGGCAGAATGAGAGACAGAGAGAGAGATGATGGCCACTAACCCAGGAACTACGGCCCCACACATGACATGCTCATCAAACAGCAGTAGAGGTCTGTCGCACTAATTGGTTGCAACAATCTCTCACTCTTGTCAGCATGACCACTTGAACATCACAGTAGTTATGCCGGACCCAAACCACCCCCAAACCACCCCCAAATCTTCATAAAAACTGGGCCTCTACAATAGTCAGACACCCCCACAGCAGATGGACCACAGGTCTGCATGGCAGCCAGAGGCACTTCACCACCAGGTCCCAGAGCACAGTCGGCTCCTCAGTGAAAAACCCGAGAGGCACACCCTAGAAGACCACGCAAGAGCCAGACCCTCCCTGGTCCCTAGGCACCCTCTTCTGAGACCATGACCCCCCCACACACAGTACCCCCTTCACACACCTACTAACAGGTGTAGTCACCCATAGGACCGACATAATTAAGTCTTTTTCAGAATTCGGTTTTTCATTCCTTTAGTGTTGACAAAAAGACAGTTGGCTGGAAGCCAGCAACAGCAGCTGCACCATATGAAGAACAGGGCCCCAGTGTGGGAAAAACACCCACAGAAGATGCAGGGACATGAGAGGAGGTCGGAGGCCCGGTGATAAGGAAGGGCAAGGAAAGAAATGAGAAGAAGCTGGGTTGCAGGGAGAAGGTGAACGGTGGAGAGAAGGTGGGCAGCAGTGGAGAAAGTGGGTGGTGGAGAGAGGTGGCTGCAGGAGGGCCCTCAAAATAGAAGTCAGCACTGGGGTCTGAAACCTCATGCTCCCACAGACAATGCCATGGAGCCTGGGCCCCGACCTCTCCTCCCCAGCCACCCCTCCCTGCCCCTTCCCCAAGGCAACAACTTCCCCTTCTTCCTCTCAGAGTAAAGGTGTCATGAAGGCAGAGCCTAAGGAGAGAGAGGACCCTGGGGGGCAGGAAAGGGGGAGAAGTTCAAATCCCCCCTGCTCAGTGCCCAGAGAGTGAAGGTTGGATGGGACAACAGAGACAGAGGTGGACAGAGACCAAGAGAGACACTTAGAAAGGGAGACACACAGAGAGAAAGTCAAAGAGAGCCACAGACCCTCAGAGCCAGAGACCCAGAGAAGGAGAGAGCTAAGATGGGTAGAGGGAGACAGCGACAGGGTGCGACGCTGTGAGGGTATAAAGACTCAGAGACAGCACTGAAGAAGAAAGGGACGTTGTCCAGAGAAACAGGGAGAGGGGCTGAGATGGGTAGTGGAGGTGGCCTGGGTGCAGGGTTCCCCAGGGTCGCCCAGTCCCCTGAACCTTGGCCAGCTCAGCTGGGCCTCTACCTGTATGCAGGGCTCCCTCCCAGTGCCGTTTCCCCAGCGAGCCCTGTGGGAGCCACATCAGCCTCTGGTTCGGTCCTCCAACTCCTCTGTGGCAGAGGGAGTTACCACGCTTTCATAAAGGTGACACCTTGGCCCCCGGTCGGTGGCTCGTGGCTTTTCCTGCAGGGCTGTCCCCCAGGCTGGCGTCTGCCCAGGGAACAAATGCTGTGGGTTGGCCCAGTCTCAGAGGGGTGGTCACTGGGAAGCAAAGAGCCCTACCAGGAGGGCACACAGGGTGATCTAGTCACTAGGAGCCCAAAGAAGGGTCTGTGTTGGCCAAAGCTATCGTTTCTAATCCACCTCCCTAGTACACTTCTAGAAAGATGAGGTGACAGGGGAAGGAGGAGGCCCTTCCTCTCCATGCACAGGATGACACTCTGCTGCTCAAAACCATCCATGGCTCAGCACTGCCTCTCAGGTCTTCTAATGCCTTGCCCCAACGCGTCCCCTCTGTCCAGCCTGCCCATCAGAGGAATCTGAGGCACAGAGTAAGTAAGTAACATGACCCCAGGGGGAGAAAACTCAACTACAGTATAAGTTCTGAGAGGACATCAGTAAATGGAGAAGGAAGACATCTCACCCAGAAAGAACAGCACATGCAAAAGCCCTGAGGTAAGGATCTCATGAATATGTTGGGGGGACCATGGAAGGAAGTGGAGAGATATTTTCAGAGCTTGTAGGAAAGATCCTGCACATGGTGCTGGAGTGAACAGAATTCAATGTTAGGATGGGGTCTGGAGGTGGAGAAGAGACAGCCTTCCTTTATCCTGTGGGGGGCCCAGGCCTGGTCCTATTTGAGGAAGAGTCATCTGCAGTAGGGTTGTGTCCTTGGTTTGGGGACAGCGGCCCCTTGTGGGCTCTTTACAGAACTGCATCCTTCTTATGATTTTACTCAAAACATACTGCCATTCCATCTACCTTCTCAGTGAACTAACATATTTTTTAAATTTTATATTCCACTTTGGGAATAATTATGAAATAAAACAAATAATATTAAGACCTTAATAATATAAGGAATGTAGGAGGTGACATTTTTATTAATGTCTGATATATAATATTTTATGTAAGTAATTGTTCAGTAACTGAATTTAATAAAACTGAAATATCTGCAAACAGTACAATTTGGGAAACCACTAAGTCATACCATGGATGAAACATCTTATTTTTATTTGTTCTTTAATACTAAAGCAATGAACAATTTATCCTGGCTGGTTTGGCTCAGCAGACCAAAGGGTCTAATGTTTGATTCCGATTCAAGGGCATGTACCTGGTTTGCAGGTTTGATCCCTGGTCTCAGTCAGAGTGGTGTGGGAGGCAACCAACTGATGTGTCTCTCTCACATGGATGTTTCTCTCTCTTTCTCTCCCCACCTCCCTTCCACTCTATCTAAAAATCAATGGGAAAATAACCTCAAGGGAGTATTAACAACAATAAATGATAAATAAATAAATATTAAAAAGGAACAATTTTAAAAGAATGTCGTGCATACTTTACATATCTTACAATTTTGTTTCTCAATTATAGCTCAACAAAGTCAAAAATAAAATAATAAATAAAAGAATATTTTTATTTTAAAGATATTATTTAAATTCAGTTTATGTATGAACTCATATTTACACTTGACAATGGAAATTATTGTATTTCATAGTTTAAAATGCTTCACTGTTTTAATGAACACACATAAATCTTCAAGTAATCATAGAAAAGTAAATAATAATAATAACAATAATAAATACTAATGGTTATAATTTGCTGCCCATGTGACTATTAAGTATCCAGCACTGTTTTTAGAACTTTACACATAACAACCTCCTTTATTCCCTACCCAAAGCTATGAGCCGCGTACTATTACTACCTCATTTCACAGATGAGGAAACCGAGGTGCAGAGGAAACAAGAGAATGGCAAGGAAGGGGTGGAACTGCCTAAACCCAGGCAGACTACCTGCAGGGTGTGTGTTCTTGACATCTGGGATTTACTGGGCTGGACTGGGGTCTAGAGGACAGTGGTGAGGAACCACTTCCCTAAGCACATGGGAAGGTTAACCAGGAGGAGAAGAGGAAGAGCATTTTAGGCAGGGGAAACAGCAAGAGCAAAGGCCCTGAGGCAGGAATAAGTTTGGCAAGTTTTAGGAGCAGGGAGGCCACTTGAGGGGTTGGAAGGGAGGGCAGTGGGAGATGAGGTGGGAGATGGCAGTGGGTGCTGAATTATGCAGGGTCTCAGGGAGCCATTAAAGGTTCTAGGCAAAGGAGAAGTGACTCTAATTCCCTCTCTCTTGTTGTGCAGCCTCTGGTATCACCTAGAATTAGTCAGGTTCCTTTTGCATGTAAATAACAAAAGCAGGAAAGAGGATCTCATTCAGGACGAAGGGTCCAGAAATCCTGGCTATGCTCACCCCAGCTATGTGGTCTTGGGAAGATTGCTTTACCTGTCTGTGCCCCAGTTTCCTCACCTGTGCAATGAGGATAATAACATTATGTACCTCAGAGGGTTGTTGGAAGAATTACACAGGTTAATAAATGTCAACTGATTAGAATAAGAGTCTGGCAGGTGGTAAAGGTCACTTACTGTCACATACCGTTATCTTAACGATCACAATACATATGGACTCACATAACTGAAAGCCTTACAGTTTCAAGTGAGGTTTGATCTAGGTACTCACATACTATCACCAAGGATCTGGTGTCTTCCCTCTGCCATCACAGGCTGCCTGGACTTTACATTCTGGCTTCACAGCAGCTAAAGCCTCAGTCCCAATCCTGTGGTCCACAAAATGGTCATTGCCATTTCTCCCACCCTCAAACCATAGAATCTAGGGCCAGTTTGAGGTAGGGAAGGATCTCTTCCAGTTGCACCGAAAGGGGAAAAAATTAAAGAAAATGTGCTGTCCCAGAATCCCCAGCAATTCTCCTTGCTCCTCACTGGCTCTGAGTGAGTTACATGCCCACTCCGGAGCCAATCACTATGGTCAAAAAGATAAGTTGGGGCTGGAGCCAATCGCAACTGAAGATGGGGGGAACATGGCCAGAGAGTCACCTTGCCTGGCCTCCTGGGTTCTGTGCTGAGAGCCATCCACCTTGCCTCATTTTCCACCACTCTGCCCCAGCCTCCAAGCTCCACATCAAGTTGATTTCAGAGAGGAGAAGTGGGGAAACCAGCCTCACCTTTTCAGGGGTTGGTTTGGGGACTTTGTTCTAATTGACGTCCCCAGTGACCCACCTGCTCCCAGGTCCCATCCTCACCTCCTGCCCTTGGGATGAATGAGGCAGCTCACACAGGAGAGAAGCTGAGTTTATCTTGGCAATTTAGGACTTACTGTTTGGGGACTCCCGGAGTCTTTCTCCTTAGTGTAAGAAATACCCCCTCCAGTTCTGGAAGAACCCCAAGATACCAGGACAGAACCAATCTACACAGCAGGTGTGAGTCCGAGAGGGTCCATCACCCTGGTCTTCCTCTACCCAGAGTCTTCCATACCCAGCCAGAGAAGAGAGAGGGAGATATGAAGGTTAGTTTTATGTGTCAACTTAATTAGGTGATCATCCCCATTATTCAGTTAAACACTAAGTGTTGCTGTGAAGGCATTTTGTAGACATGGTTCACATCTTTGATCAGTTTCCTTTAAGTAATTCAGATTACCCTGGATAATGTGGGTGGGCCTCATTCAATCAGTTGAAGAATCTAAGAGCAAAAACTGAGATTTCCCCCAAGAAGACGAAAGTCTGCCTCAAGACTGCAGCATTAATTCCCTCCCAGGTTTCCAACCTGCTCTGCACATTTCAAACTTGCCAGCCTCTGCAATTGCCTGACTCAATTGTTTAACAGAAATATATATACTAGTCAGATGGGGAAGAGTCAGGCTTGACTCCTCAGAATTCAGTATGGTCCACCTGGTCCTGGCTGATGAGGTTTTCTCATGGATCAGACAGCATATACAAGTTCTGCTCCTTCTGGGCCTTATCATGGGAGTAGAGGGGTGAGGGAGTGGTGTCCCTGTGCAGTCACCTGGGCCCCTCCTCTGGTGCCCTGTCTTCTGGGCCTTAGTTCTCAAATACACCAGTGGGCTCTGCCCACCAGAGCTTCTTGGAGAACAAGGTTTGGAAGACACAGAGCAGGCCCCACCCAACCTCCAGATCTCCAGGTAACAGGCAGGGGGAAGAGAGGACAGGAAATGACAGTGTTCACAGACTCAGTTGTCCATAGTTTCCACTTGCTGTCCACAACTGAATACCTGGGCACCCACAGTAAACCCTCAGCCACTCACAGAGTGACATACTGCCTTCAACAGGTGGGCTTGAAACTGTTCTGTTGAGGAAAGGGAGAGAGTTATTTCCACATTGTATTAGCTTCCTGCGGCTGCCATGAAAAATTACTACAAACTCTGAAGCTTAAACAACACTAACGTATTATCTTACAGTTCTGGAGGTCAGCAGTTCCACACAGGGATGGCCAGGCTAAAAAGGCATCCATAGGCTGTGTTCCTTTATGAAGTTACCTGGGGAGGATGTATTCTCTTGCACACTCAGGTTGTTGGTAGATTTCACTTCTCTGTGGTTGTAGGACTGAGGTCCCTGTTTCCTTGCTGGCTGTCAGCTGAGGGCCATTCCCAGCTTCTCCAGGAGCCCACGTGTTTTGGCTCACAGCCCTCTTCCTCATCTTTAAAGCCTACAGCAGCAGGTCAAGTTCCTCTCACTCTTCAAGTCTCCCCTCCTCTTCCTTCTCTGATTTTAAGGGCCTTGTGATTAGATGAATTCGTCCAGGTAATCATGGGTTATCTTTTATCTCAAAATCAGTAAACTTTATCACATCTGCAGAGTCGCTTTTGTGATAAGTATGTGAGGGAACATATTCAAGGTTCCTGAGATTAGGATGCGCATAATTGTGGGAGGCAGGCATTATTCTGGCTGCCACACCCACATAGACACCACACAGGTAAACACTGATTGTTGGCCAGCTCCTTTGTTAGAACAAGTCACCTTGACATTGAATCAATCTTGACATTCAATCTCATCTTAGTAGACTGACTTTGATAGAATAAGACCCTTGA